TACTCGCAAAACAAGGGCACTGCTGTTCTACAGTGGTGGTAGGTTGATGGCTCAATGTCTGTCTCGAGAGGGACGATCCACTGCCTTGCCACGATACTAGAGCGATACAGAGAAAGATGTGCTTCCGGGACAAAAACTCCCAAAGTCCTTTCGTTATATTATGTATATTACAGCATATCTAACTAAAGTGAGTCTTAACGAAGGCGATAGTCGCGGCGCTGCCTGTGGAAATCGTCAAGCCCGGAAAGCACGATCTCCCACGTTCAGTGGTCCGGTGTACTGGCGCATCGCCGAACCCCCATAGCCCATGCCTCGTGCTTTGCTTTTGCTTCGTCCATTACATTTTTAATTCGTGTATTCTGTTTCTCTTTTTACTACCTTTTAGGCTTATTGTTCTTCTCTATTCGGTTCGAGCGGCTTGTTTCCTTCTGCTCCTTTTACGGTCCACCGGTGTACACGAAGACACGATGTCCGATATTAACGGTTCGCCGCCGGCTGAGGAAAGGAATGGGGTAGTTAAGGACCGTAGTTGGGTTCCCCAGAATGGAGAAGATGCATACAGCATTCAGGGCGCGATGGACAAAGCGGAACAGGAACCACAGAACGAAGACGCTTTCAAGTTGGGGAATGGCCTGGCGACGAGACAACGGGGAGGGGGGCCCCGTTTGTCTGCGTTGATCGGGATTCTTCTGGCAGGCTTCGTCGCTGCCATGCTGTCTGGTGTGCTGCTTCTTCCTGTGCGGCGTCAGCAGCACCGCCGCTCGCTAGCCGAAGCCTGGGCGAGTGTAACCCCTCACGACGAGCCCTGGGCTTTACCTTCGGTATCCGAGGCTGAGAGCCAATCCACCCCCAGCCTTGTGTACGGCAAAGAGGAAATAGCAGCAGCGGTTGGGGAAAGGGAGGTACATGACTTCCCCCCGCGGGGGTCCCTCGGTCAGGAGATGCTGGGTGCCCTAGGGGATAAGGTCTCGAAGGGGAAGAGAAGCAGCTTGTTGGGGGCGATTATCAGGTTGAAGAATATACAGAAGTTGGGCTCAAATGAAGTGGATAAAGAGGGGGGTGAATTCTACGTTAACAAGTACATGGGTGAAAACACCACGTGTGTGTTTGTGGAGGTAGTTCAAGTAGCAACCCTAAAGAGATATGCAATGCGGTTGCAGAGTCTACCCCCGACGGTAGGAGGAGAAACTGTCAGTCCTCAGTTGGCTAAAGCGATTCACCAGGAATCGATAGTTGCCTCCACCACAGCGATGCTGGAGGCGGTGGGAAATGCCCCGCTGGATAAAGCGGCGGAGGAGAGGGGTCTTGCTTTGGCAGAAAGTGTTGCAACTATCGCTAATGTGGATGAGCCCGTGCGGTGCAGCAGAGTGTATGCATCCGGCGACGTGCAGCTGATGGAGTTATTCTACGGGAATCTGGAAGACGTTTTCACCTCCGAGACGCAGCTGTCGATGGATGCAAAGTTGTACGCCGCGAGGAGAGTGCTGCATCAGTTGCTGCTGTTGCAGAGTGCTGGGGTCAGCACCAACAATCTGAAACTCGAAACCATGTACATGCAGAAGGACGGATCCTTCTTCTTCGGTGGTTTTGATGAAACTTCCCGCATAGGCGATGTACTTGGCAGAGTAGGAGGGGGAGCATCCCGCGATGCAAAGAACAAGATGCTGCTGGCTGTGAGGGAGGCGTTGTCTAGGCCTGAAGCTCGTCATGCGCACAGCAAATTGGACATGTGGGACTTGGGAGTTTGCCTGTACAGAATATTCACTGACGGGAGCATGCCCTTCGACCTGGACAAACGGTCGTCTTCTCGGAGCGTTCTTCCCATCTTGCAGGAGGAGCAACTACGCGGCAGTGACCTCAGGGAGCAACTGTTTATGGCCGGTGTGCCTCATAGGTGGGCAACCTTGATCATGCGGCTGCTCGAGCCAGACAGCAGACAAAGAATCGACGCGCAAACCGTTGTAATGCATTTCCCGGACCTTTTGAGGGGATAAAGAGGAATGGGGAAATTCAATGTGTTTGCAGTGGGTATGGCTAAAGGCTTTTATTTCTTGTTGGTTGCCGCTAGTAAAAGTGATGCATATGTCTTCAGCCCATGCCCTANGCTAAAGGCTTTTATTTCTTGTTGGTTGCCGCTAGTAAAAGTGATGCATATGTCTTCAGCCCATGCCCTAAATATGATTTACACAGTTAAAAGCTTCCGTTTTTGCTCTCGTTGGTGTTATCCGACCAACGGTGAACAGCTGAACACGAATTTCTCAGATTGAAGTGAACAGAGAGTAGTAGCAGGGAGAGTATGTAGGAAGTTGTGTGCCTTTTTTAAGGTAGAAAAATGTAGGTGTGCTACCTCTTACGAGTTTATTTTATTGATAGGTTAGTGGAAATGGTAGAGACGTGGGGAAGGTGTTCAGAGGCTTTGCTTTTGGAATACTAGAAGGGTACACAACGGGGATCCAGGGGCCAGTTTAGAGGCGTAGTCCATGCAGATGAGTATTCAAAGCAAAGCTTAGGCCCCGTAAAGCGTTTGACGGACAGATTGTAACGAAGTAGCCCCCAAGGAGGAGCTTCACTATGCAGACGCTGAATTTTGATCTCATCTGCAGTCGTGTTTGTATTGTGTGCGAGGAGGANGGAGCTTCACTATGCAGACGCTGAATTTTGATCTCATCTGCAGTCGTGTTTGTATTGTGTGCGAGGAGGATACCTCGTGTATTTTTGTCTCATGGACTTCAGTGCTTTTGCTAGCGACAGTAGACGAAAGCAGTAGCAAGTCCTCAACATAGCGCAACTCGAAACGGCTGCAGATATGCACAAAGAACCTAAATTGCGCTAAAGAAACTTTTTAACTAGAAACGTCTCCTGCAGTTTTGCTTCATATCGTAGGAAGTGCTCTTGCGTTTGGCAGCAACCAACGCAGATATTTGAACAAGGGCTAAACTCCTCGATCAGATGGGTGACCATGTGACCACGAGAAAGAGGAGAAAGGCGGCACATTTGCATGGATGCACTGCAGTAAAAGTATACCCGGCATCTATGTCGACACAACGGTCGGAAATGCACCATCATGGGGTGCAAAACATGCCAAAATATAAAGCGGTGATCCGGCAGGAACTGAACGTGCTAGGAAATCCCTGGATGTTGCTCTGGAATGAGGGGCCAGACTCCACACATGCATGGTCATATCGGTCAGTCCTAAAATTACTAGTACATCGAAATAGCCAATACACTTGTGGGCTAGCTAGCGCAAGGACGTAGTTGCCGTTTTATTCAACACAAGACAGGTGTTTAACAAGGATATGTATGATTTACNTAGCGCAAGGACGTAGTTGCCGTTTTATTCAACACAAGACAGGTGTTTAACAAGGATATGTATGATTTACGCGTAGATAGGTGCAGTCTCTACTCTTAGAAATAGTTCGCTTCATAGGGAGCAATGGACGAACACAAGAACCGTTGGAGCCTAATGGTCAGTACCGTTGTTCGCCTTAGATTCGCAGAACAGCCCGCCTTGCTCTCCAGGTGCTTTTAATAACATGATTTATGCTATGCTGAGGTAGGGAGCCTTAAACACCGGCTTAGCTCCAGCGAATGTGCTGCTTAAGGCTGTAGGCGTTGGTTACCATTGCAGCACAATGCAATTCGGAAGCGGTGGTTACTATTGCAGCACAACGAAATTCTAAATCCACTTTCCACTTATTATATCTTGCAGACAATTAATTCTGACTCTGTTTTCCACACATTATATTTAAAAGACATCTAGATCCTGCCTTCATAGGCAATGCCGCATCCCTTTGCTTGCACTCGTATGAGCCCCAGACCGGGGTGGTCCGGTCCGGTCCTAGCTACCGTCGGCGTGACGTTGAATACTATGGCTAATAAGAGCAAGTTGTAATGTCTAATCTCGTCTCAAATCATCAAATGCCTCATTCAAAAAGTTAATCCTATTGTGCAACAAGTCTGAGAAGAACCAGAAAGCAGTTGCAAGCAGCGCCGCTTCAATTATGCTCTTGCGGCTTCCATGATCGATCTCTACCCAGCTCGAAAGCAAGGCGGCAAGGCATCCAGTGCTTGTTTGTCTAGTGCTCTAGACAGATAACTAGGTTTTCTACCTTCTCACCTTTTTAAGCTGATTATTTTTACAATGGAGGCAATATCAATTAAGGAGCCAAACCCGGCCTCCCGCCTTCGTCGTTGGCCTCGCGTCTCGGAGGCGGCGACCGAGGTGACTGAAGGGGAGGCCTTCTCTGAACTAACGGATGATAACGTCTTTAAATTTCCGGAGAAAAGGCAAAAGAAAGGCAAATTCTGGGGAAATATGGGTATCCTAGCTGGCTTCATCGCTGGTGGCTTGCTTGCAGGTGTCGTTGTGGGTCACTTGCTGGGAGCATTGTCTTTGAAGGAAGACTGGAGAAAGCGTTTAGTGGCCTCCTGGCGGGGANGGGTCACTTGCTGGGAGCATTGTCTTTGAAGGAAGACTGGAGAAAGCGTTTAGTGGCCTCCTGGCGGGGAGTACGTCCGCGTGACTCAGCATGGGAGTTGCCGGATCTGAAACAGTTCGAGGAGTCCCTGCCCCGTGCACAGCGGACGGGGAAGGAGTTGATAGCCGCAGCCGTGCAGCAGAGGGAACTGTTGGGGAAGCGTCAGCCCAGCCAAAAAGCGAAGGAGGTTATGGAGACCCTTGCGAAGCACTTGTCTGATGGAAAGACGAGGGAGCTCATCGGAATGAAACTCACCCTCACGAACGCGCAAGCCCTGGGCTCTGCTGACGTGGATGAGGCCGACCGCAACTACGTAGTCACTGGGTTCCTCGGTGAAGGGAGCCGGGCAGTGGTGTTGGAGGTGACAGAAGAGTTTACAAACAAGCCGTACGCTATGAAGCTGATAAGGACTCCAATGTCGCCTGTAGGCCGCAACGCCGCTGCACGGGGACTCGCCAGCCTCATGGCGACGGTGGGAACCATGGAAGAGACAACGGCTATGCTGCAGGCGGTTGGCACTACGAGTCCGAGCGAGGCAGCGGAGACTAGGGGACTCGCAGTGTGTGCGGGAATTGCAACAATCAAGGGGGTGCCCTTCGTAATGGAGTGCCCTTCCGGCTATGCATTGAGTGAAGTACAGCTGATGGAGAGGTTTAAAGGAGATCTGGCCGGTATTTTTGGACCCATGAACCCTCTACCCGTAGAGGCGAAGGTATATGCGGGGAGGCGGTTGTTGCTGGAGGTGCTTCAGATGCAGCGTGCGGGTTTCAGCCACAACGACCTAAAGCTCTCAAACTTTTTCATGCGGGATGACGGCTCCTTCTTATTGGGAGATTTTGGGGCAGGCACCCTTATAGGGCAGCCTCTCGACAGTTTAAACGGCCTGACGCCTCAATACGCAGAGTTGGAATTGGGTGCTTTCACAGTGGATGACAATCCTTTTCGTGTGCCTCCTGTGGTTGATGAAAAGTCAGACATGTGGAGTCTGGGATTATGTCTCTACAGAATATTCACTGATGGACGCCTTCCTTACGGCCTGATGGAGTCGCGCAATCCAGTTGAGACGTTAAAAACTCTTGCGGAACAGAACGTTTCCCCCAAGACGCTGAGGTTGGGGCTGATGGAGGCAAATGTGCCGTATGTCTGGCAGGATTTGATCATGGATCTTCTGAACGTGGAAAGGAGAAACAGAATCAACGCGGTAGAGGTCGCAGCCAATTATATCAATCTTGTCTACTAAGAACTATGCAAGCAGATACTGGATTACTGACAATGCTAGGCTGCAGTTGCTGGCGTCCTAAGTGTCTTACAACATTAAGGGATAATGTGATCCTCCTGTTCCGTGAAAGGGAACAGAGGAGGGTGGGGATTTTAACAAACAACGGAATACCAAAGCAGCCACTGGAGCTTCATGGGCACATAATTCGGGGTGTACAGAATAGGCCCCGCGTGCACGAAGTACAGTCTGCTAACAACGGGTTCCGCATTTTTGTAGTCATAAATGAAACAAAGACTTCTGAGTTTTTTTGNTACAGTCTGCTAACAACGGGTTCCGCATTTTTGTAGTCATAAATGAAACAAAGACTTCTGAGTTTTTTTGCTTTCATGTGATACGCACGCAAAGCAGACAATAGGTGCCGCGTGTACCCCCGCGCGGAGCCCGCTTGTTTAGAATTACTCGGCTCCCATGTAACATTCGGTTTTCTTTGATTGGCAGTCATAAGGATGATACCCAGCGTCCCCATGGTAAAATAACTCTGTTGCTTGCTTCTCCCGGTAGTGAGCAACGAGGATTTTAGCCACAGCGAGCAGAGCTGTTGAACTCGTTCACCTCAGTGTGACCGCCAATATAGCATGATAGTATTAAAATGTGTCTGTCTAGACCGCTTTACAAGGATGGTGTTGCTGGCTTTGATTAGCGCTTGTACGTTGGAGTTCCCTTGAAATTCGGTCTTCTCGAGTGGAGTGGTTGTAGGCACTACTGCTGTAGATGTGTAACTGTATTTAATAGAAATGCTGTGCTCAGGGCCTCCCGTGTGGTCGCCAGGTTCCTCATATTCAAGGGTTCCATGCACTACGGAANAATGCTGTGCTCAGGGCCTCCCGTGTGGTCGCCAGGTTCCTCATATTCAAGGGTTCCATGCACTACGGAACCTACCCCATCATTTTTTACTTCTACCGTTGGACCGTCAAACTACATCTGCCAATCATCGTCGTTTTTATATCTTCAAGAATATCTATTTGATTGTTATCGTAACAGTGGCATCTATAGGCATAACGGCTGTAATCTGACGGTCCAACGGTAGCGAGGTGCCATGACGGGTAAATTCCGCCCTACATGAATCAATAAACTAAATAATTGATCACGTAATCCACATTATTCTTAGATACCTACTCAGAAC